AAAAAAAAACATTTTGGGAGTTGGAATCAGCAGACGGTTACAGATATTGTCTAATTGCTCCACATAAATATAAATTAATTTTGTTAGTCCTCTTCTTATAATCTTCATGTTTTCTTGTTGCAGTTTTCATTCTGCTGTGTGGTTTAATCCGACCTTGCAATTTTAAGTGAAAATAACATTACAAGCAGGACCTTAGTGAACCATACGTGGACCTGATCTCCAGTCGAGCTCCTCATTCACTGGGCCTTAACATTGTGTGGCAATGGTTCATCTGAACACTTTTGAAACTTTTGATGCACCTCCACATGTTTGAATTTGTGGTTGTTTCCAGGGGGAACTTAGCCTCAGATATTTTCTGTGCATTTTCAAATATTCAGAAGTGACCAGTGACTCAATAACAGAGTGTCCGTGACATCACCGATAGGTTTCCAATGATGGGGTTTTCCACCTGCATTTGGATGATACCAGCCGAATACTGGTTACTATTCTTCGACGTTTCAAAATAATAAAAAAAAGCTCTGATATTATCAGCATATGTCTCAGAAGTATTTAAGAAACATTTAAACACAATAATATACACTCACTATTAGGTACACCTTGCTAGTATCGGGTTGACATAGATTCAACAAGATACTGAAAACATCCCTCAGTGAGTTTGCTAAGTATTTCCAGGCTAGCATCATGCAGTTGGTGACTGTGGAGGCCATTTGAGTACAGTGAACTCATTGTCATGTTCAAGAAACCAGTTTGGGATTATTCCTGCTTTATGACAGGAAGATGAGGTTACTGTGGTCTGGGATGGAGATGGCTCACAACAATGCTCATGGATTTTGGCACTCATGGACTAAAAGTGTGTACGCCTAGTTTCTGAAATACTCAGACCGTCTCGTCTGGCAGAAACAACCACGCTGCGGTAAGTCTCTTAACCCACCTTCTCCATTCTGATGCTCTATTTGAACTGCAGCAGATCGTCTTCACCTTGTGTCCAAATGCTTTGAGTGTCTGCCATGTGATTAGCTGATTGGAAATGTGGGTTAACGAACAGTTGGACAAGGGTACCTAATAAAGTGGCCGGGGAATGTCGGTAACACACACCCACAGTGTTCATTAAAGATAAATTATTCCCAATCAAAATATTAATATTTTTATAGTAATAACTTTCTTGTTTTCATTATGATATATTTCCAGTTTTTGCGTTTATAGCCTTCGTACGTACTTCGGTCCACAAGGGGGCAATAAAGCACCCTTCAGGTTACTGTACTACTATTGAAACCAGTAGAAGAAACAAGTCTTTTTTTTCCATTTCTGAAGAAGAAGAAGAAGAAAAAACTAACAACTGAACACTTTATAGCGGTTATCGTTAACTTTGGTTTGCCAAATCGTCATAAAACGCCTAACGGAGGAAGAGAAACCACTGATAAATACAGTAATACTGGCGTAAAGATGGAGATTAAAGAAGAACCCCGCGGAATAAAAGAAGAAGAAACGGAAGAGCAAATAAGTGAGTGTTTCTCTTCTATTCTGAAGAGAATAATATGACGATAGCGTTAACATCCAGGCTAGCTTACTTTATTAACAAAGTTAAAATGTTGTCTTATAGTACATTTGTTCTTACGATTCTGAGTATAGGGTCTGTTTCAAAGGAGGATTTCTTTCAAAACCAGAATTTGAAAAAGGAAGAAGTCCATTCAGGAAAATGTCCATTCACCTGCTCTGAATGTGGACATAGTTTCTTCATTAAGAAAGATTTTGACGCTCACATGAAAATTCACAAAGTTAAAACCCACCTAAAACGCCCTGAAAGTGGAGTGAGCTTCAGGATCCAGAACAGCATCGAAGATGTTCAGAGCTCTTCTGGATTGGAGCCGCAGAAATGGGATCAGTGCGAAATAAATTCTTCTGAGGTGTCGGGTTTAGGAGCACACCATGTTACTGAGAATCCAGCTATGAAGCCGCATGTGTGTGGTTTTTGTGGAGAAAGGTTTTCATTTAAATCAAACCTCAATAAACACACTAAGAATCACATCGGTGAGAAACAAAACCAGTGCTCGCATTGTGGGAGGATTTTCGATCAAAGACGAAAACTAATTCAACACATGCAGGTTCACTCGGCAGAGAAACTAAATTGCTTACATTGTGAGAAGAGTTTCAATAAAAAACGAACACTGAGACAACACATGAAGATTCACTCTGGAAAGAAACCGTACTTGTGCCTTGATTGTGGAAAGAGTTTTAGAAATTCAACTGATCTAAAACATCATCAGAGGATTCACACTGGAGAGAAACCCTACAAGTGCACACATTGTGAAAAGCGTTTCAGATCAGCAGCAACACGGAAACTTCACCAGAGGATTCACATGGCAGAGAAACCGTACAAATGCTCACATTGTGAAAAGAGTTTCAGATCTGCAACAACACTGAAAAATCACCAGAGGATTCACACAGGAGAGAAACCGTACAAATGCTCACATTGTGAAAAGAGTTTTAGACAGGTTTCCCAACTATATGGTCACCGAATGATTCACACTGGAGAAAAACCTTGTGTGTGCTTAGACTGTGGAAAGAGTTTTATAAGTCCATCTAATTTAATACACCATCAGAGGATTCACACCGGAGAGAAACCATACAAGTGCCCACAGTGTCAAAAGAGTTTCAGATTAACATCCACGCTCAAAACTCACCAGAGGATTCACACTGGAGAGAAACCGTACAAATGCTCCCAATGTGAAAAGAGTTTCAGATCTGCAACAACACTGAAAAATCACCAGAGGATTCACACGGGAGAGAAACCGTACAAATGCTCACATTGTGAAAAGAGTTTTAGACAGGTTTCCCACCTATATGGTCACCGAATGATTCACACTGGAGAAAAACCTTGTGTGTGCTTAGACTGTGGAAAGAGTTTTATAAGTCCATCTAATTTAATACACCATCAGAGGATTCACACCGGAGAGAAACCATACAAGTGCCCACAGTGTCAAAAGAGTTTCAGATTAACATCCACGCTCAAAACTCACCAGAGGATTCACACTGGAGAGAAACCGTACAAATGCTCCCAATGTGAAAAGAGTTTCAGATCTGCAACAACACTGAAAAATCACCAGAGGATTCACACGGGAGAGAAACCGTACAAATGCTCACATTGTGAAAAGAGTTTTAGACAGGTTTCCCACCTATATGGTCACCGAATGATTCACACTGGAGAAAAACCTTGTGTGTGCTTAGACTGTGGAAAGAGTTTTATAAGTCCATCTAATTTAATACACCATCAGAGGATTCACACCGGAGAGAAACCATACAAGTGCCCACAGTGTCAAAAGAGTTTCAGATTAACATCCACGCTCAAAACTCACCAGAGGATTCACACTGGAGAGAAACCGTACAAATGCTCCCAATGTGAAAAGAGTTTCAGATCTGCAACAACACTGAAAAATCACCAGAGGATTCACACGGGAGAGAAACCGTACAAATGCTCACATTGTGAAAAGAGTTTTAGACAGGTTTCCCACCTATATGGTCACCGAATGATTCACACTGGAGAAAAACCTTGTGTGTGCTTAGACTGTGGAAAGAGTTTTATAAGTCCATCTAATTTAATACACCATCAGAGGATTCACACCGGAGAGAAACCGTATAAATGCTCACTTACACATGACACCCCCAATCAGCACTACAAATAGAAACATCCTTTTCCTTATAAAAACATGTGTTCTCCGAAGGAATGAATGCTTTTCTGTGCATCAGTCGGTAGAATTGGAATTGTGCAAACAACACAAATGCCTTGGGTTCGAACCCCAGAGAAAGCAAGAACTGAAGAAATGTGTTTATTAAATGTAAATGATTATTCTCTTAACAAAAGAGGCTTGTGTTATTTGCTAATAAATCTGTACAAAGAAACCGTACAAATGCTCACTTTGTGAAAAGAGTTTCAAACAGCCATCCCAACAAGATGGACACCAAAGGATTCACACTAGAGAGAAACAGCTCACATCCAGCATCACAGTTTCAGACACACATCCACATTGTTTTGAAAAGTTGTCTGTGATTTAGCCAGGGAAAGCATTTTATTAAATCATTTGCATTTATATTCATGTCAACGTTAATTTTAGAATCCAGAGAAAATAATTAGTTTACATTTGCCAAATCAAAATCAAATAAAAGAGAAATAATTCCGTACAATAAAACACTGAGAAATTGAGATTAAAAATGTTTCTATTATATTATTTATATTAGGTTGTTACTTCTGTTCCATTGTGACACTAAAAAGCCATCTAGTGTTTCTGTCATTCGTTCTTACTTCCGTCCTACAGGGGGCAGTAGAGTATTTTATACTGTAAAGACTAAAGCATCAGGTATGGTAGTTATTGGCTCCAATCCCTTTCTTTCTTATAATTTGTTCTTTCAATTTTAGACTCTATGGATGTGAGTGAAATCAACGGGAATTTATTTCAGAAGATACGTGTTAAAGAAGAAAGTCTTTCAGAGATTGAAGAGAATTTCATAAAGAAACGAAAAGAGAAAAATGGAATAAAAAAACTCTCTGTCTGCCCCGAATGTGGAAAGAGTTTTAGAAATTCAACTGATTTAAAACAACATCAGAGGATTCACACAGGAGAGAAACCCTACAAGTGCACACATTGTGAAAAGAGTTTCAGACTGGCATCCCAACTATATGGTCACCGAAGGATTCACACCGGAGAGAAACCTTGTGTGTGTTTAGATTGTGGAAAGAGTTTTAGAAATCGATCTAATTTGAAACAGCACCAGAGAATTCACACCGGAGAGAAACCGTACAAGTGCTCACTGTGTGGAAAGAATTTCAGAAACACATCCACACTGAAAAATCACCAGAGGATTCACACAAAAGAGAAACCGTTCAAATGCTCAGAATGTGGGAAGAGTTGCAGAAAAAAATCTGCACTGAAAGATCATCTGAGGATTCACACCGGAGAGAAACCTTGTGTGTGCATAGATTGTGGAAAGAGTTTTATAAATCGGTCAGATTTAATACGACATCAGATGGTTCACACTGGAGAGAAACCATACAAATGCTCACATTGTGAAAAGAGTTTTAGACAGATATCTAAACTATATGAACACCAGAGGATTCACACTGGAGAAACAACTGTGTGCTTAGACTGTGGAAAATGTTTTATAAAACCATCTCATTTAATAGAACATCAGAGGATTCACACTGGGGAGAAACCTTACACATGCTCACATTGTGAAAAAAGTTTCAGAAAAACATTCACACTGAAAAATCACCTGAAGATTCACACTGGAGTGAAAGCATTCAAATGCTCACAATGTGAAAAGAGTTTCCGAAACATGCGTACACTGAAAGATCATGAGAGGATTCACACCGGAGAGAAACTTTTCGAATGCCCACAATGTGGGAAGACTTTCAGAAGAACATCCACGCTGAAAGATCACGAGAAGATTCACACTGGAGTGAAACCTTGTGTGTGCTCAGATTGTGGAAAGAGTTTTGTAAAATCAACAGATTTAATACGACATCAGATGATTCACACTGGGGAGAAACCATACACGTGCTTACATTGTGAGAAGAGCTTCAGACACACATCCACATTGAAATATCACCAGAGGATTCACACCAGGGAGAAGTATTGCCTGTGATTTAGCCATGGAAAGAGTTTTATAAAATCATCTGATTTAATATAACATTGGTTAAAAAGGGCACTTCTTTAGTCCAAACCCCTGCATTAACCTCTCGAAGTTTCCAGTTCTCTGAGAAACAGAAATTGTCTTTGCACAAGAAACGGGTGGCTGTGGAAGTCTATTCCCAGCACTACTGGAGGAAGAGCTGATCCCTTATCTGATAATTCAGATCTTATCAATGAAGAATGATTCATTGCATTTGTCTTCAGAAAGAAGTTGGAATAAGGTTCAGAGGGATTTTTCCCTCTCTACCATTGCAAAGAGAATTTTGAAGAAACCCCTGCGCGACTGCACCTAACTCAAGGTTAAATGCAAGACGACTCGCCTTATAAAGGTTTTAGTGAAAGATTAGATTAGTTTTTCTACACCTTCTTTAAGCTTTTCTGCGTAGTCCTTTCACATGTTGTACCTTTGTTGTGTTTTCAATGGTGTTTTTTACTTGATCATCATAATACTTTCTAATAATTCATTTTTAAATTAAATGCATGAAGAAGAAGGTCTGCAGATCGAGCAGTGATGCTTGGTGCGTGAGTTATGGAATTCACAAACAACTCACTGGTGTAATCATTTATGTTTCTCTTTCTATCAGAGATAAATGTTGTTATTTTTTGACGGGGGGAAGTTAAGTATGTCAAAGAAAGTACAGTAATGATCAGATTGTGCAACATTCTGAACAACAATGGATGAAATCTCTAAACTGTTACTGATTACTAGATCTAGTGTTTGCCCGCGATTATGTATTGGACTCTGGATGTGCTTTGAATCACTTCTTTACACTCACACATATTTTTAAACAACACCTCATCAGTTCAAAACACATTGTTGAACATGAAGCTCGCCTTGTTTAGGACTGTCTTAAGCTAGTGCTGTTCATCAAGCTGTGTTTCGTTATGCAACATAAAACCCAGATTGTCTGTTGTGATAAAATCACTTATAACTTGTGATTTATTTTTAAGTGGTCTTATGTTAAAATGAAAGAAAAAAAACACATAAGTTAAGAAATAAAGAGGCAATAGTGTAACAAAAGAGCAAAAAAAAGTGTCATACAGTTATGGAATATTTTCATACTTTCGTGGTTTCTTGTGACTAGTCAAGTACCAGAAAAAAACACGAGACATGGGTATAGAACAGAACATGGAAACTGATGAGAACACATCAAAAAAAGGCCAATTAATTACAGGCTAGTTTAAATGTGCATTAGAAGGGTTTCTCGCCCTTGATCAATCTCCTCTTATTTAAAAGTAAAAGCATTTTAAAAGAAAACAAATTCCAGGACATTAATTAAATTCTTGCATTAAGCAGAGACATACTAAAAATGTTTTGAAGACTTGAGGTAACTGCACAAAATGTTACTCTTTTTCTTTATGGTATTGCCTTTTTTATGTTGCGGTCATTTGTTCATACCTCCGCCCCGCAAGAGGCGGTAGAGCATTTTCAGTTGTCCCATTTACCATTGACACCAGAAGAAGAAGAAACCAGTTTTCTTTGCACCGAAGAAGCTGCCAACAGCTGGAGCTAATGACAGAGAAACCACGGATAAACTTCATGAATACTGGAGTAAATATGGAGATTAAAGAAGAACCCCGTGAGTTTTGTTTTATTTCTCCTTTTCTAACAGCAGACGAGGATTATACATTTAAAACGAAAAAAAATGTACATTTTCAGCTAATATTATATTTCTTTTATCATTTGTTCTTTCAATTTTAGATTTGATGGACTTAAGTGAAGTAAAGGAGATCTTTTTTTCATATGTACATCTAAAAAAGGAAGAGGACACTAAAGAGACTGAAATTATTTTTAATGTAAATAGAGTTCAACAATCCTTGAAAGAAGAAGAAACAGAGGAACAAATAGGTGAGTGTTTCTCTTTACCGTCTGCGGATGAGGATTAAGATGAAGATAGCATTAGCATCACATGCTAGCAGATTGTAAAGCATCAGGTATGGTAGTTATTGGCTCCAATCCCTTTCTTTCTTATAATTTTTTCTTTCAATTTTTGATTTTAGACTCTATGGATGTGAGTAAAATCAACGGGAATTTATTTCAGAAGATACGTGTTAAAGAAGAAACACTTTCAGAGATTGAAGAGAATTTCATAAAGAAACAAAAAGAGAAAAATGGAATGAAGAAAATCCTTGCCTGTTCTGAATGTGAAAAGAATTTTAGAACATCGTCTAATTTAATGCAACATCAGAGGATTCATGCGGAAGAGAAACCGTACAAGTGCTCCCACTGTGAAAAGACTTTCAGACAGATATCCAACCTACATGAACACCAAAAAACTCACATTGGAGAAAAACCATTCAAGTGCTCACATTGTGAGAAAAGTTTTAGAACGTCATCCATACTGAAAAATCACCTGACTATTTACACGGGAGAAAAACCATACAATTGCTCACAATGTGAAAAGAGTTTTAGACATATTTCACAACTAAAAGAACATCTACGGATTCACACGGGGGAGAAACTACACACGTGCTTATATTGTGGAAAGAGTTTCAGACAGAAATCCATTTTCAAAAATCACCAGAAGATTCACGCGGAAGAGAAATAGTTAGAAAATTATCCAATCCCTGCATGGACTGCTCAAAGTTTCCAGTGTTCTGAGTAAACGAGAGGTTTCCTCGCAGAATAGTAGTGTACACGAATGTGAAATTTACACCTAATGTCAATTGTTGTCAGACAGGAAGCAGCAAGACAGAATACATGTGTTTGAACGAGAGAGAGGGAAATAGAACAGTGAGGTTACAGGGGGGCTGAGGTCAAGAAGGTGCAGGAGTTTAGGTATTTGGGGTCAACAGTCCAGTGTGACGGGGAGTGTGGAAAAGAGGTGAAGAGACGAGTGCAGGCAGGTTGGAGTGGATGGAGAAAAGTGTCAGGGGTGTTGTGTGAGAAGAGTGTCAGCAAGAATCAAAGGAAAGGTGTA